GACATCATCAGTGCGTAGTTGTGCGTAGCGGTGGGTTAGTGGTTGTGCGTTCAGTAGTGTTACGTGTGTGTTGATATACGTGCTGGTAGCCGGGGATGACCATTGACCGCGCCTAGTTATTCTGTCGGGCGGTTCCATTGGTTGTTCTTTTATCCCATGTCCTCATTCGCCGATGCCCACGTGACCTTGGAATTCGGCATCCCTCGTCGTCGTAGTCTGGTTGGTGTTGGATTGACCTTTGTCCTTCCCAGTTCCGTTACGACCTTTATTGATTTGATTCCGAGGAGTTCCTTGTTTCTTCGTTTGTTAATCCATTATTCGGTCCTCCTTGAGTGTTTCGGTTGTGATGTTGATCTCTCGCACGTAGAGGTGCGTAAATTGGATCCAGTTCGATGCACCAGTTGATTGAACCTGCCGTAGAGTACCATGCTTCTAGAAATTCTCTTCCATGTCGTGTGTCTCCGTATGCCAAAATATTCGCGTTTTCCATGTTGAATTTGTGGCCTTCCTGATCCTCGTGTATGGATATCAAGGACAGCGGGTCATGCCTCCTGAGAGCCGCGTTGTGTTCCTTTTTTCGTGTACATAATTTTCTCCCAGTTTGTCCAACGTAGAATGTGTTGCAGTCGTTGCAGTCAAACTGGTATACCACATTGTTCCTCTCGGTTTTGTCCCGATTGTCCTTCGGTCGAGAGATGATTTCACCTCGATTGGTGATGAAACGTTTGCAATCAAATCTGTCAGCTCAGTGAACAAGCCAGCGACCATCTACGCTACCTGAGCTACCGACATTTTTCTCTATAGAAAAGCAGTAATATATGTGTGATGGAAATACCCTAGGTGGTTTCTGCTTTCCGACTCCAACAGTTGGTCACAAAGAACCTGTGAGGTAAACACTAGTCCTGTCTTATATTGCGCGGTAACACCAAGATCTTTATTGACGAAGGGTTTTAGTATAATGACCCCGGAACAATTTATGGTATCCGGTTGAACAGTTCGATTGTGACACACAGTTATGTTCTTTAAACTTAGTCAACTCACGCAGTTTATTCAATTCTCTGAGGAATGAAGTGTAACTATTAAAAATCAGTAATGGTACTTTTATCCATCCTAGTGCTTTTCAATCTTTTGCCAAGTTATTTTTCCCACAAAACTGACATCACAAGCTATTTTTCGGCAACGATGCTTTGAAAGCCATTCATTGAAACACTTTTTTTCTTGTCTTAATAGAACAAGATAGAAAAGCACTACTAAAAAGTATCATTTTTCATATTCCTAAAAATTTTGC